AAAAATGTTCTAATCTGGCAAGTCCAAGGACTTGTTGATTGACTGCAGTGTTTTTTGTTTTATTCCTTTTACCAGCTCAAAAATATTTTGTATGAAAGAACTTATTGGACTGTCCAATAATCAAAACTTGGGGAAGGTGAAGGGAAAATGTAGATCTAAAAGTTGGGAAAGTCTTTTAGAGTCAATTAAAAACAACTTCCGAGTTTGAAATCATCAGTTCAAACAATCGAATGTGCAGTTTTTAAAATGTCATCAAGGTTTGGAAGAAGAGCCAAACTATCACCCTTAGATGAAAGAAGTGAAGGTGTTCAGAAATACACAGGAACCCAGAAAGTATTAGCTTGTCCTAAACCAGAGATAGCTGGAAGAGTATAGCTTCACCACAGACAGAGAACGAAAGAAGCCCCTGATCAAAAAGGGACACCTTCACGCTCAACTGAAATGTGCAGCTGTCCTCGTGGACAAGCCAAACGCCTCCCGGAGGAAGGTTTCATGGTCAGACAAGACAAAGGTTGAGCTACTTAGCCACAAAGACAAAGTATGATTGTAGGACTCAAGGCTTGAGCTGCCAAACCTAAGAACAGTGTACCAATGTTTGGGGCAGCTGTGGCTGAGTGGTTAGCTCAGTCGTCCTCCAATGAAAGAGTTGGGTGTTCGATTCTACCAGCAGTCACATGCTGAAGTGTCCCTGGGCAAGACATTGCCTCATTGTCTCTGACATGTGTCCCATCAGTGTATGAATGTGATAAAGCACTGATTATTCTTTGTAGAGATCTATGAGAGCACAGATTGTGTTGTAAAGCGCTTTGAGTATCTTGATAAGTTAGAAAGGTGCTATATAAGTACAGTCCATTTACCATTCCATTTTATCAACTGTCAGGCATGGCAGTGGTATTCTCATGATGTGGTATTGATGCATTCCACAGTAAGTATGGAAGAATGGAGGAAGACCACCCCCAGTGTCTTTAATTTCACCTCAAATAAACAGCTACATGATTAAAACCTTGACATAATTGGGTGTTTCAACAGGAGGATGAATCCAAACACATCAGGAATGGTTTCTGAAGGAATAAAGATGGCTAACATTAGACATGGTATCTCACTGAGCTACAGCTAGCATCTGCATTTGAGAGGGAGTCTCCAGAATGGCTTGAGGGGGTTCAAAGTTTCCTTGAGCGAGTTGCAAAGACATGCAGTCCTGCCACTTGACTTTTGAACCAAAGGTTTGTGCAACATATTTGCTCTTAAATTAGTCATAGAATCGAATTGAATCCATGTGGGTTTTGTTGTGGGCATCTCCAACGAGTCTCAAGAGTGACTGAGCTGTTTTCTGATTCTGCAAGAAGATCTCTCTGACAGAAAACATCTGAGACTAATGTCCAGGTCTCCAAACCAGGCTGATTCTAAATAGAACAAAGATTTAATCAAATCTGACTATCTTCATTTTAAAAGTGTAAGCCACTAAATTAACTCATGAATGAGGTGGACGGCTGCAGGTGGGTACAAAGTGTCAGCTGAGGGGGCACGATGTAGGTGAAGGTGGACAACAAATCAACCTGCATGGACAATGTTAGCCTGTCCATGGTAGCCTTTCTTATTCATTCATAAGTGTAGCTTTGCAAGCCATCCATCAATTAATCAATTTATCCATCCAACCATCCATTCATCAATTCATCTATAATCCATCCATCCATCATCCATCCATCCATCAATCTATCAATTAATCCATCCATCCATCAATCCAGCCATCCATCCATCCATCCATCCATCCATCCATCCATCAATTAATTCATTTATCCATACATCCATCCATCAATTCATCCATTTATCCATCCATCCATCAATCAGTCCATGCATCTCTCCATCCATCAATCCATCCATCCATCTATCCATCCATCAGTTCATCCATCCATCCATTCATCCATTTGGGGCAGCTGTGGCTGAGTGGTTACCGCAGTTTTCCTCCAATGGGAGAATTGGGGGTTTCATTCCACCAGTAGTCACATGCTGAAGTGTCCCTGGGCAAGACACTGAACCCCTCATTGCCTCTAATGTGTCCCATCAGTGTATGAATGTGATCTAAATTTCTTATTAGTCTCTACAGATTCAGATGATCTTTGTAGTGATGTAGAGTGCTGTATGAATGTGTGTTTGGAGGTAAGTGAGGGCACAGAGTGTGTTGTAAAGAGATTTGAGCATCTGGATTAAATATAAATGTGTTGTAGAAGTACAGTCCGTTTACCATCCATCCATCCATCCATCCATCCATTATCCATCTTGTTCTGGACTCAGGTCTCGGGGGGCAGCAGTTTGAGCAGGGAGGTCCAGCCACCTCTTCCAGCTCTTCTGGGAGGACCCCAAAATGTTTCCAGACCAGCTGAGAGACATCACCAGAGAGTCTCTCCAGTATGTCCTCAGTCTTCCCCAGGGTCTCCTCTCAATTGGACATGCTTGGAAAACCTCCTAATGGAGGTGTCCATCCTTACCACCTGCCTGACTCACCTCAGTTGGATCCTCTTTATCTTTGTAACCTCAACACTAATGAAAATGTGCGGGCTCTGCTTTATTGCCATATGCCAGGAAACCCACCAATAAAAATTACCTCTACAAATTCTGTCAAAAGAAAAAAAAAGTAGTCAAACGTCCAGCTGGACTGATGTGAGAAACTTGTTAATGGATCTAAGAAGCAGATGGCTGAAGGGGGACTTGATCTATATGTCTTTATTGGCACCTGTATAATTTGTTCTTGTTAGGCCAGAGAAAGCCCACAACAAATCAAAACGTGTTCACCCAATTCTTGTTGGATTTTGTACAATCACTCTACAAATCCCCTCCCCTGCGCTTAAATAATTAACATGGCATCCATGTTTTTTAGATATACCTGTATAATCATCCATCCATCCATTATCTTTACCCGTTTATTCCATTTTGGGTCACGGGGGTCGCTGGTGCCCATGTCCAGCAATCACTGTGCGAGAGGCGGGGTACACCCAGGACGGGTCGCAAGTCCATCACAGGGACACATAGAGACAAACGAGACAAACAAACATTCACTCTCTCACTCACACCTAGGGACAATTTAGAGTTACCAATCAGCCTAACATGCATGTTTTTGGTCTGTGGGAGGAAACCGGAGTACCCGGAGAAAACCCACGCATGCACGGAGAGAACATGCAAACTCCACCCAGAAAGGCCCCTGGACCGGGGTTTGAACCAGGGACCTGCTCGCTGAGAGGCAGCAGCTCTACCAGTTGCGCCACTGTGCTGCCCCTGTATAATCATATGAAATTAATACAGTAGATATAGTTTTGTATGGGACCAGTTGTTTTCTTTAATTGGGAGTCTTTAAGAAGGAGGGTTTAGACCAGAGTTATTCAACGAAATTGCTCAGGGGGGCACCTTTACTGAAAGCCAAGAGCTCAGGGGCCAGACATCCAGCAATCGTCATTACGTAAGTTTGTTTTACGGTTTAAAATCTAGTTTTATTTAAATATGAACCCATTGGTAGGCCAAAGTGAGCTCGCCCATGGACCTGATTGTGCCTCTGGGCTGCCAGTTAAATAGCCCTGGTTTAGACTGTAACTTAACATGTAACATAAATTGTGTAACTTAAGTTGTAAATGATAAATATTTAATAATTAAAAAAAGACATTCATATTGAGTGTATGTAAATTTCTGATAGCAGTAAATTGATGACGTTTAGATTGTGCCACAAACCAAACAAACCACACAGAAAAAGGATAAAAACAATGATGCTGCACTGATTTGACCCACTCAGAAACATCTGCATGAAGACAGAGAAATATAAACTAAATCTCCATCTCCTCCTGAAGCCACTGAGCCTAAACTCTGTAAAATCTTCTCGTGACCTTTTCAAATGTGGGAAGATTTTGTCAACAACCCAGATAGAGTCAATCTGTACACGTTCATCTTGTTACCCTCCGTACAGCTAGACAAATACATTCATTAGAGTGAAAAGAGTACCTTTTCAAAAAAGAGGGAGACCTTGACTAGCATGAATGCAGATGTATCTATATCCAGCCCCTCCCCTCCTCCTTTCCCTTGAAAGAACTTGGAGCTGTTGCAGCAAACGTCTGTTTAGATGGTATGAAAAAAAAGGCTCTTGCGAAGCAAAGGCCTAATTGAATTGCTTCTGATGGAAAGAGGAGCTTAGTACGCTTTTACAGTCAAACTGAAGAAGTAGGGGAAGGGCAGAGAGGGGAGAGGGGGAGAAAGTGAAAGGCGACTGGGGGGTTGGGGGGGTTGTGATGACAAGGAGGAGAATAATTGAGATGGACAGATAAGGTGGGAGGGAGCGTGGAAACAAAGAGATGATAAAAAAGGAGGAGATTGTTGTAGGGATGAGGACAAATGGAAACAGAAAACACTGAAAGGAGGACTGATTAATAGTTCTGATCGGCTCCACTTCAGGCTTCAGGGGAGGAAGTGCACGGACTCCTGTGCACGGTGGCACAGTGTCTGACACTGTCACCGCTCACTAATTGTCAGTTTCTCAATAACAGCGGCGGCCTTGGTTTCCTTCAGCCCACAAACCGCCCATCGACACACGCCAACACAAATTAATCACTGATAAAACACAACGTGTTGTGTATGGACACGAAACCCCCCCCCCCCCCCCACACACACACACACACACACACACACTGCTGCCTGTAGCATTAAGGCCATCCTGCCACATCTAATAAACTGTGAGGGTGGACTCAGCGGGCTGTGGCATGGTGTCCGCTCGGCTTCTGTCTAAGCCTGATTTACAGCACGTCTGCTGCGAGCCCTAGAAAGCGTAATCTGTGACTTCTTATGACGCTTTCAATTTGCTGCAACTTCTTTCCCCCGAGCTCCATTTCAGCCGCTAACCATGACAGAGCCACTTGGTCTCCCACACCATTTTCACTTTAAGCACCAGAATTGTTCCCAAGAGACCTGGGGGTACTCCGAACTGGTGGACCTGGAGGGGGAGCGGAGGAATCAGCAGCCCTCACCAGAATCCGGTCCTCAGATTTGCCGCTCCTGGTCTCCTGCTTGATGGCTCGCACAAACTTAATGGCCTGTTTGTCCAGCACCTTCCTGATGCTCTCTGGGAAGAAAGCATAGAGAGAAACATGGGAGTTCATTAAACAGATCTGCCTTTAGAGCAACTGAAGACACGGCAGAAAGCTTTTAGGGTGGATATCCATACAAGATGATCTGGGGGGAAATGAGCATAAAAACATCAACAAATGAAGAGAAACTTCAGGGATCATCAGTTTTCTCTCCAGTTTCTGAAATTTGAGCTCATTAGAGAATGTGATACATACGAGCACATCACGAGGCTTTAGTTTCCATCTGCCTGGACTGGCAGTAACGGCTCATTTACACATAAAATCACTTCTTAACTGAAGCAAACATCTGGATTGTAGTTTTAGAAACTGTAAACAGGTGAACAACGGCCACACTTTGATTTGGGATGTAGAAAACATCACAATAAATGATTCATTCTGGAGTAATCTTTAGCAACTACACAATAAAAACCTAAAAGAAACAAGTGATTTAAAATTGTACAACTCTTTAGTATTAGACCGTTGCATTTTGAGCAACAACAGTGTTGAGTTAAATGTACTGAACTTAATTTTAGCTCAAATCATTATTATTATCATTCTTTTCTTCTTTCGGCTGCTCCCTTCTTCAGGGGTTGCCATAGTGAACTAAGTCGGATGAAGACTTGACAGCAGTTTTTACACTGGATGTTCTTCCTGACACACCACAGACCACTGAACTACCACAGCCCTCTGTGTGGAGCAGAGCTGCTATCTAGGACACCCGGGGGAGCAGATGGTGGGGGTTAAGGGCCTTGCTCAAGGGCCCAGAGTGGGGCAAATGAGGGTGGAGTTAGGTGTGGGTGTTTCACCTTTCCCACCCACAGGTCAAATCATTATTGTCGTTCAGTTATCCAGCAGCATTTATTCAAAGTTCGACTAATTTAAGGTCCGATCAAATTGAAACTTTTCTAGAAACTAGTTCATGATAAAACGAGTTTTGCTTAAAGTTTTTACATTTTTCTTCTCAAGAACAGATTTCCCACATGTAAACATCTGCCATCATCCATCCACCTATCCATCATCTGGTTCTGGGCTCAGGTCTTGGGGGCAGCAGCCTGAGCAGGGAGGTCCAGACAACCCTCTCCACTGTCACCTCTTCCAGCTCTTCTGGGAGGACTCCAAGGTGTTCCCAGACCAGCTGAGAGACGTAGACTCTCCAGAATGTTCTCAGTCTTCCCAGGGGCTCCTCTCAATGTGGAGGAGCAGCAGCTCCGAGTCTCTCCTGGTAACTGAACTTCTCACCCTCTATCTAAGGGAGAGTCCAGCTACTCTGCAGAGGTAACTCGTTTTGACCTCCTGGATCCAGAATCTGGTTTTACGTCTCTATCCTGAGTTTCTGACCAAAGGTGGGAAGAGAACATATTGGAAAATAGAGAGCTTCTCCTTACAGCTCAGCTCTCTCTTCAGTACAACGGACCGCCACAGTATCCACAATACTTAAGAAGCTGCACCAATCCAGGACTTTGTGACATCGTCTTTATCTCTGCAGTTCTCACATCTCAATCTGAACATTTCAGGATGCTTTGTAGTTTTCTGTGGTATATTGTTTTATCTTCATAGAACAGTTAGGTAACATGTGACAAAAAAGACATCACATTTTACACTTTTTTTTTTTTTTTTTACTGTTTTTGTCATCATTCACGTTCGGAGCAATTAAGTGTCTTGAAATAGAAACGTGACTAAACATCAAAGTATTAAAGTTGGATTTAGGACACCAGCAGGTGATCCAACACAGACATCAGGAAGTCTGTCAGAGCTTTTCTTGGATACACTCCATATTAAAATAGAAGTCAGAATACAAAATAGACTCCGTTTGAGTTAATGTTTTGTGTTACAGTTGTTCCTGATTTTGAGTTTAAGAAAAGACTGGTGGATTATTCCTCTAAAGTCAGGCACAAAGAGCTGTGAACCACAGAGATGACGAAAGACTAAAGGTAGCAGCTCACTGTTGGACACTAATCCAAGGACCACATTTGTGAACATTTTAACACGTTTTCAAAATCGTGCTACAAGTTTACTTAAAATATTCGAAATGTTCCATCAACCTACAGCTTTAGGGATTATTTGGATGCCGCCACAGGAGCCATTCTTATGACAAATTATGTTCAGGTCTGAACACCACGTAGATGAAAAATAATTGTAAAAAATCTAGTGAAGCTCCAATCTTCATTTTCCTGGTACTAGACTTCTTAACCAACAGACCACAGTTAGTGAGGATCCACAACTTCTCCTCCTCCACCATAACCCTCAGCACTGGCTCTCCTCAGGGATGTGTGTTGAGCCCCCTCCTGTTTACTCTGCTCACGTATGATTGTGCAGCTACCCATCCAGGCTGTCACATTGTAAAGTTTGCAGATGATACAGGGGTGGTGGGATGCATCACAAACAATGATGAGTCCAGCTACAGGCAAGAGGTGGAACACCTGGAGAGCTGGTGCAAAGAGAATAACCTTCACATCAATGTGAAGAAGACAAAGGAGATGATTGTGGACTT